GCTCAGGATACTAAGGGGTGATTCTCTTATATGTCTCAATGAGATAATCAGCTTTGTCTTAAGATGTCTTCAGTTTTATTTTAGGAGAAACGTTAAACTTTTACTAATATTGTAAATATTAAAACTGTCATTTAAATAGTTATTTATTAATATAATTTAAATAGTAGTTTAAATAACATTAAACATTTCAGAATATCAAGGGTTACTAGTTTAAATGTTTAAATTGATCTTCAATGTCCAGCATTGTATACACCACATTTTCTACAACATTGTATACAACACACTAGAAAGGACTTAGAAGTGCAAGATGTTTAGTATAAGAGCAATACCTTTTTTTAACAAATGTAACACTAGTGTACCAGTGTTTTTTTGTTTGTTTGTTTTTTTGCTTCGTTTAGTATTACAATTTTGTCTTGTACAGCCCACTTTTGCATGCAGGTAAATATAGGTTATGGTTTCCTCTGTTAATCACTGTGCAATAAAACAATATCTACATAAAACAACTTCAAATATGACAATGCATGTATTGTCTTTGATTGAAATGGTGTTGATAAATGGCATTGATGCTAACCAGAGTGAAGAAAGATAAAATAAAAAAAGATCTCTTTACCATTTCAAATAGTTCTCCTAGACAGAAATGAGGTTACCTTAAGATTGAATGGAAACCTTTGCTTGAGTTCCTGCTTTTCAAACTTGTCTCCTGAGACAAAAACTCTAACACTGTCAAATGTCCAGCATTGTATACACCACATTTTCCAAACACACTAGAAAGGACTTACAAGTGCAAGATGTTTAGTATAAGAGCAATACCTTTTTTTAACAAATGTAACACTAGTGTACCAGTGTTTTTTTGTTTGTTTGTTTTTTTGCTTCGTTTAGTATTACAATTTTGTCTTGTACAGCCCACTTTTGCATGCAGGTAAATATAGGTTATGGTTTCCTCTGTTAATCACTGTGCAATAAAACAATATCTACATAAAACAACTTCAAATATGACAATGCATGTCTCTAACACTCTCACAATGGTCTTCTTTAAAGCTTTAGAAGAGATTTCAACAACTTTACACACTGTGCTCAGATTTTTCTCCTTAGCTGAAGACTCTGG